GGGGAACGAATCTTTCGATTCGGTACTCGGTAAAAAGAATAATTTGTACACAACAATTTCGATGATTGTTGAGGCGTATATGAATTTTCGAAACTTGTATAGCTGCTGAATTTTAATAAATTCATGAAAAATTGTATACTGCTCCGATTGTTATGAAATTTTATATGCGATGTCTTGTGTTGATGTTAAATGTCGTGTAACAATATTAGGATTTAATTCTGTCTGTAGCTATTTCAATTAATTATTTTTTATTTTGGGCAGAAATATCAAAAAATCATATAAAATCGAAATGTGCTCCAAAACTGCTGAATTTTGAATATGTTGCTTTTATGTTATATGTGGATGTTGTATACAAATTTCATAAGTTTTGGACTTAGTTTTTTAGGGTAAATAATTACTTGTAGTTTTCTTCTGAACCTCGTTTTAATTATGATAAATCGATCAGTTGCTGTAAATAGCTGAACATTTGTGAGCATGCTCTTTTCATGTTGCATTACTTGGCATAAAATTTTTATAATTTAACTTGTTCTTTATGATAGGTTTGTTATTAAAATGAGTTTTCTGATGAATATTGTTAGATGTTTTATAATTCGTGTGATAAGTGTTTAAAGCTGAAATTTTTATATGTTGGTATCCACATGCTATAGCTATTTGAGTAAAAATATAGAGGGTTAACTCATTCATTTGGGCAGACTTCATAATTGTACTCGTTTTTGCTGAAAACTTGTCTAAATTTTATAAAATCATGTGTTTTGAGTTAAGGGCTGAAACTTGGTGATATTGCAATGTCCAGAGGTATGAATTTTGTATTAAAATTTTAGAGCTCATTCGGTGGCCTGACCAACTTAAATTGATGTGATTGCCTATAATTGGTTTTGAGTCGAGTCCAAGTGTTCCAATGTCAACAGAACTCCCCGAACGACTTAGTTGGATCAAGTTCGACTAAGTATGATTTCTGTACTTGTTCTAAAGTCAAGATGAGATATTGATTGTAGTATCTTGACTTATTGTAGGTGCTTGACGAGCCGAGCTCGCCACCTACCCATTATTGTTAGCGCTTTTCACTTGCTGTTCGACCAGGTGGGTTTTATTTGAAAATTGGCTATGCTGTAAATGTTATTATTGTTATTATTGTTTGACTTGTCGTATGATCAAAGTATGCATGTGGAACATGTAACCTTCGATGTGAGTTGTACCGGCCGTCGAACGGTTATCCCCGTAGCTATAGAACGTACCCGTTAGGTAGTCTCCCTTGAGAGCCGTAAGATCAGGATTTAGGACCCTCAGCTGGTGATCCCCATTTGTAAGGCCAAAGGCCATCGGGGTGGTTTTACTCCTACTGGCTAGGCTCTCGATGTGAGGTCAAGGGCCATGCGATATATAGCCGGCAGTAGTCTATTGATATAGGTGTGCACTGAGTCTGATTATTGAGATTATTGATGGAAGAATGGGATAGATTATTGCTTCGTATACATGCTGAGACCATACCTTATTGATTTATGATTATTTCTAAATTATTGTGGATAACGTTTACTGCATAGTGGTGAGCACTATTGTTTCTTTTTGTGCTCATCCCCACCAGCTCTTCATGGATGCAAGTTAGTATTGCGGGCACGACGGAGGGATGCATGTGATGGTCATATTATTGATATTGCTTCCATCTTGAACTGAATATTGTTATTATTGCTTTCTTTATTATTGAATAATGAATTATTGATAGGGAGTGTGCTCCCTATGTTATTATGATTATTAAATTGATTATTGGATTGTAGTATTGATTATTGGGATTTTATTATTGATAAATGAGTAATGATGATTGTTTGAGTATTGGGAATATGTTAAGTATCGATGTTTATTTTGAAAATGAGTAGCGCCTCAAGTGATTTGGAAAATAAATTTGAAAAATTTATCCTGATTTTTGGCAAATAAAAGTGGGGAGTTCCAATTAATTTTTTTGAGTGTGATATTTTAAATATAACATATATGTCATACACAGTGTTCTAAAAGTCTCTAGGTGCTCGACCAGCGCATAGCGCTTAGTGCGCCTAGGCGGCGCCTAGAAATTAATATTAAATACATAATTTTTTATTTATTTTAACTACCTACAAAATAAAACTATCTCAACTTTTAATAAATCGACATAACTAAGTCCAAATAATAATATTAATATATTTTTAAGAAAATATGAGAACAAAATAATGTAATTAGTATTTAAAATAATAATAAAAAAACTAAAAAATTGCCGCTTAGCCCGCCTAAGAGCGCCTAGGTCCGCCTATCCCCGCCTAGGCGCCGCTTAACTGCCTGGCCGCCGAGCCGCCAAGTCCGCCTAGGCCAGCCTAGGCGCCGCCTAGTTGACTGACCGATTTTTTTCTGCCGATTTGTGCAAATCGGAAGTGTCCGAACACCACCTAACACCTAAGCGGCCGCCTAGGCCCATTTTTAAAACAATGGTCATACACATACATTTGCACAAAGTAATAATACAAGACTATCCATCCAATATTGGAAGTGGTGGTTCACGATATTCCTAACGTTTTTCCCTCCCCATAAAAAAATGGAGAAAGATGGTTTGAAATTTATTTGAAAAAGGAAAATGGTGGGTATTTGAGGAAACAAACAGCAGTCCCACCCCCCATTACTATTATTAAAAGAGAAAAAGGAAAAGCGAAAGTTACTACTCACTGATTTTTGCTGTTCTCCACACAGTTTGGCTGGCTATAGAGGAGGTTTTCTCTTTCCTATTTAACCATAATACATATTTTCTCATTTTCCTTCCTTTGTTGCTTATTTGCTCTGCTTTCTTTCTTTCTGTGATCTCTCTCTCTCTCTCTCTCACTTATATTTTCTGATCTATAAGCAGAGGAAGCAAGCATTTACCTCGACTCAGCTGTTGTTCTCTTTACTATCTCGTCCTCCTACCTTCGTTTATTGTTTTTTCCTCATCTCGAATTTGTGCTCTAGGGTTCTGCTGAAGCTTTTTGCCGGCTGGATTTCCATAAGTGGCGCATTTAAGTATTTATTATTATTTGAAGAAGAAATCAAGTGCGTTTTTCTACAACACTTGGATAATTTTCCCCTCCTTTTTCGTTTTTAGAAGTATTCATTTTGTAGTGTATAGTTTTTCTGGGGATAACTGGCTAAAGTGGGATCGAATCATTTGTGTGTTACGGAAAAGGTGGGTTGTGCGTGGCTTGTAATTGAGAGAGTCACTTCTCACCGGTGTTGGTTATAGAGTAGTGTTCACTAAGCCGGAGTTTTTTTTATTTGGGCTTAGCTTTTAATCCAATTCTTCTTTCGTAAGTCTAATCATTGAGTTGAAGCAAATTGATGAAAAAAAGTTTAGCCTTGATGTGAGGACAAATGGCACAGGATAAAGTAAAGGGTCCATCTTTTCAGTCTATCAGATCACTGCCTGCAGATTTCGGGTCTGTTAGGGGTTACTCTAAGAATGATGGGATCATTTTATCTGATAATGCATCCGGAAATGTTCTTTTACCGAGTGATGCTAGTTTGGATAATGAGGAATCACCCTATCGTAATTCGGGCGTGCCACTAAAAATTGGGGCTTCATTGAGTAACAATGGTGATGATGCATATGCTATGAATACTAACATCCAGTCGATTAAACAGTCGCATGCTGACTCTAAGTGGAGTGACACGACTCCATACGCCTCAAAGAAGGTAATGTGGTTGACTAATCTAATATACCCTGTCATGCACTTCTAACGTGTCTTCTTGCTTGTCTCGAATGGACAAATAATCGTAATGTATTTTTGAATTACTGTCATAAATTTGATCTCGTTATGTCCAATTTTAGCTGGAATTGCATAGTAATATGTGAAAATGTGCTGTGTTGTAGTCTTTATAGTTTACTGTTATCTGGTTGCTTGCTCGATATTGTTACATACCAATGGATGCAACGTAAATTACCTACAGAAGGCTTACAAGCTCATGTAGCTCAAATTTTCTGAGCATGAGGAAACAACTTATTTGTTAGAAAATCATCATACATGATGTTTAACTATCAAAGCCATGTGATCCATCATCTTAGCCATACAACATATCTACTTATCATTGGATTTAGTGCTTAAAATTTTATGTGTGTTTTTCAGAAGCTTCAGTCATGGTTTCAGCTTCCTGATGGAAAATGGGAGCTGGGGACTATTCTTCAGACATCTGGAAATGAGGCACTGATATCTTTGGCTGAGGGAAAAGTGAGCAATACTTTGGCAGTTCTGGTTCTTTTTTTTTTTAATCTTCTTTTTTCTATTTTTTTATCTTTTTTTTTGTTTTTTTCTTTTTGTGAGAGCAGTTAATTTACCACCTTCTCTAACCGTTCCTTGTATCTAGGTTCTGAAAGTGAACACAAAGTTTCTGGTTCCTGCAAACCCTGATATACTTGATGGTGTGGATGATCTTATGCAATTGAGTTACTTAAATGAACCTTCAGTTTTATACAATCTCCAGTATAGATATGATCGCGATATGATATATGTAAGTGTGCATCTTCATTTTGAACCTCTATCAGATTCTCAGTTTTGTTGATTTTTCTACATGGTTTCTGATTCGCTGCTCATGTCAGACCAAAGCAGGCCCTGTTCTGGTTGCCATTAATCCCTTTAAGAAAGTGCGTTTATATGGTAATGATTATATTGATGCTTATAAGCGCAAATCTATGGAGAGCCCACATGTGTATGCTATCACTGATACAGCTATGCGTGAAATGATCCGAGGTCATTGACTTGCGCATGACTTTTATCTCCAGTCCAATGATGAACTCTACTTCTTGTAACTAACTGTGGTTTGTTTTTCTTGTAGATGAAGTAAATCAATCCATCATCATAAGGTTAGCAAAAGATTTTGATGTCCGAAGTTCTTCTTTCTGTCGGCCTTTTCTAGTGTATTCTAGGAAAGCAAAGTTATTTAGACTACAACAATCCACCAACCTTTATTTATCTGAACTGTGATGGATCTATGCTTCGTTAAACTGAAACGTTTGCGGTCATGATGTTCATTTCTCTTGGCTTTGTAATAAGCCAATTGTATTATGAACTTTCAAGTTTCAATTTTGTTCTTTGCATTCTAGCTCATTTTTCATGCTGCTTAATGTTGAATCCAAAGAATAGTCATTTTGTTAGTTTAGGCTGGTTTTAGTCCTTTGCTCAACAAGAACATGTGGAGACTGAGAATTTTAAACTCTTGTCAAGGCACCAAATGCATTACTAAAGAAAATTTTTAGGTAATTTTTTCAAGAAATGATTAATCAATTTCAATTTGCAATAGTGAAATAAAAGGCAGAACCAATTTTTTCTTTCTAAAACAAATGTGGTTGAAGTCAAATCATGTAAACCATAATTTTTTTTTTTTTTTTTTTATTTTTTATTTTTTTTGAATTGATGCAGAATGGATTTTCATGAACTACACTTGATCACACGAAACTCTTTTATTAAATTTTTCTATAATACTTGACTTTAGCATCAGTGTTTAATAAGATGATCCGTAAAGCCAAATTTCCACAATTCGGATCAGCAACCCGACAAGATTGTTTTATTGTGCGAAAACGTGGCTGACTTTCATAATGTTACTGAGGCAGTTCTAGGAATAAAACAAGGATATGTGGATGTGGATCTCATAATAAATTCTTTAAGAGCTCAAAACTTGAGTGACCTTTTGGTATTGTGATCAAATCAATGTGATGGAGTGTGGTGTATTTATTTTTTATCCAGTGGCGAAAGTGGAGCTGGGAAAACTGAGACAGCAAAAATTGCAATGCAATATTTGGCTGCTCTGGGAGGTGGTAGCGGGATAGAATATGAAATACTGAAAACAAATCCAATTCTGGAAGCCTTTGGTAATGCCAAAACATTACGAAATGACAACTCAAGTCGCTTTGTAAGTTGATTCTAGCTTTCCTCTTCTCTAATTCTATATTGGCTTGTATGGAATTCTAGTCTCGTAGTGATTATCTACGGTTGTACTGCTCCTAATTTATTGTAATACAATTACGACCTATCCTGTCTGCAGGGAAAGCTGATTGAAATTCACTTCAGTGAAGTTGGAAAAATATCGGGCGCCAGAATTCAAACTTGTAAGATTGCTTCCAGAATAAAAGGTCTTGCTGTCAAAATTATTGTTTATTGTGGAATGACATAGACTGATGAATTGTTTATTGTCTTCTGTCACCCGGGACGGTCCATTATTTCTATAGTTCTACTTGAGAAGGTATTTTTCTACTACTGGGTGGTATTGGGATAATGACCATTTGTAATTTGATAAAAATACTGACATTCTGTTCCATGATCAGTCCAGAGTTGTTCAATGTACAGACGGAGAAAGGTCATATCATATCTTTTATCAGCTCTGTGCTGGAGCTCCACCTGTCCTTCGAGGTATCGTGTTAATATGCAACTGTCATCCAAATATTTAGTCTGCTATGATAAAAAAATCTTGCAGCTTTTGCAATAGTATCCTGTCTTTTTTCTTGCCCGGTGCTTCTGCACTTAGTTATCCGAAATTCGGATTTTTGTAAAGATCTGCTAGATCTTTCCCCCGTCAGTTATGCGTATACTGCATCTCAGTATGCATATGTGTATATCTACATATCCATATTCTGTCATCTGTCTTGGTATTGATTATACATTCACTGTGTTTGTTTTATTCAGAAAAATTGAGATTAAAGAGCGCAGACGAGTTCAAGTATTTGAGCCAAAGTAACTGCTCTGCGATTTCTGGGGTTGATGATGCTGAACAGTTTCGTATTGTCACGGTATAGATCTAATGCCATTGTTTTCCAACTTTACTGTATCATACTTTACTATGCTGGACTAAATAAACTTAGCCATCAAAGCTTCTTCTGAACTCAGGAAGCTTTAGGTATTGTCCATGTTAAAAAAGAAGACCAAGAAAGTGTTTTCGCGATGTTAGCTGCTGTACTATGGTTGGGAAATGTTTCCTTTATGGTGATAGATACTGAAAATCATGTTGAACCTGTGGAGGATGAAGGTGAGAATATTTCTTGGTGAACAAACAAAAAGGGACCACGTGGAAATGCTGATGTAATATATGCTTGATTAAGTAATTATGGTTGTGAATTTCACTTTTTCTGGAAGAAAATAAACTTTACATAGTTGGTTTGTCGTTTTCAGTTCATCGCTAGTGCAGTTTGATTGTTATGTATTATCAAGAATTAATTTATTATGTGGACAACACCATGACTTGCTGATATAGATTTTGCATCAATCCCATCTTCTTATTACATAATTTGTAAGTTTTGTTTGAGGTGGTCGGGTATTGACAAAGACCCATGAGATTTTCTTTATTTTTACCTTTTTCTCTTCCTAACTTCTTTTTTGCTCCCTTTTTGGCTTAAATTGTGTTTCCTTCAAATTATTCTGAGATATGTTGGGAACATACTAGCAACTTGCTAGGTACCTAGTCCACAATTTCAAAAATCAATTATTGTGTAAATGATATAATATAAAACATATGGGCCTGATTCCTGAAAAGAGCACGAGCTTTTCATGATGTCTGCAATTTTCAGGTCTAATCAACGTTGCTACACTGATTGAGTGCAACATTGGGGAGTTAAAGCTAGCTTTATCAACTCGAAAAATGAGAGTAGGAAATGATACAATTGTGCAAAAGCTTACCCTAGCTCAGGTTAGAGAATTCATATAGATCAATTATATTTTAGGCATTGTACTGAGCTCTTATGGCATTGTAAGAGGTAATTATTATAGACTTTATTAAGTATGAACAATACTCTTTTCAGGCAATTGATACAAGGGATGCTTTGGCAAAATCAATTTATTCTTGTTTGTTTGACTGGCTAGTTGAACAAATCAATAAATCACTATCAGTAGGCAAAAGGCGCACTGGAAGATCCATTAGTATTCTTGATATTTATGGTTTTGAATCATTTGAGGTGTGTCCTTATCCAAACTTGTTCAACTCTCCAGCATCTCTTTCCTTTTTCATTGTGCTTACCCATTAAATTTTTCTTTAGAGGAATAGTTTTGAGCAATTCTGCATCAATTATGCCAATGAAAGATTACAGCAACACTTCAATCGTCACTTGTTCAAATTGGAGCAAGAGGTGACTATTTCATATTCTGATTCATTTTGTGTTTCATAATTTTAGAAAAATTGGTGCTTATGTGCTAATTTTGTTTTTTTATCTGCTAGCTATGAATGCTTACCCAAGTTGTAAATCTCAGCAGCTTTGTCATATTAAAAAATCTGAAAATTGTTGAATATATCTTTACAGGGATAAGTGGAGGGTCTTAAACTCTTAACTTTCTTGAATGGGAACTAATGCTTTTGACAACCCTGTGATTTACTACCACAATCTACATGAATCTAGAGCTAGCTTAGGATTGGAAAGTAAGCTGGAATTTTGGTTGTGTGTGCATGTTTTGAGGAGCAACTCCAAACTTCTTGACACTATCTGTGCATTAAGTTTGATGAATATGTAACGAGTTTGGTTTCAAGTATGAGTTCTTCTAACTTAGCCCGTAGGCCAGTTACGCAGTTCTGGCACTTTTAAAGGATTTTATTTTTAGGTCCTCTGTAGAATTGTTTTTAAGGAATATTTCATGGCGATGTTTTTGGAGTGGTAAGAGTATTCTTGCTGCTAGTTAAAGTTTGTTTCTCTTAGTCAACTAATTGTACAGTTAGCTAATTTAGTTAGAGTTACACTAACTATGTTTTGGTGCTGCATATTACGCCACAAATTCTTATGATTTTGGTTCCAACCCCGCACCTATTGTCGCTATTCTGAAGGAATGAAAAGTGCAACGCCAGATATGACACAAACACTGTTCAACAAAGCCACAATATACACACACACACACACACACACACATATATATATATATATATATATATATACACACACACACACACACTGTTTTGTGTTCATCTACATTTTTCATTTCTTATGTATATATATACACACACTGTTTTGTGTTCATCTACATTTTTCATTTCTTTCGTCTTATTGTTTTCTTTTATTTGATTTTTGTATTGAAGTTGTTATACTAAAACTAACTTTATTTATATGGAATAAAATTTGTGTATATTTTTTTTGGATAAGAATCATATGACCAAGAGTGAAATAAGGAATCGTGTTATAATACTTTAGATTACAAACTGAATTTGCAGTTCAATCTTGGTTAATATTTTAGTAAACACTTGATAAATGTCTTAGTTTATCTTTATATAAATATTGTTGTATCTAAATATATATTTGTTGATCATAAAAGGACAATGTTAAATAATTAAACATGTGTAAAGTAATATATCCAATTAGATTATATTTTGACTTTAAAACTTGATCAAAATAATGAGAATAAAAGGAGAATATTTCACGTGAAGTAAAATGTAGAGCGAGCGGTTGGAGACTAAATTTGCCTTTTACATTACTATAGAGTGGAGTAAACTCTAGTAAAGATAAGGGTTGGAGATGGACGTAGGGTTAATCACTTATAGCTAGCTAGTCAATTAGCCAAAAAAAAAAA